AGGATTGAGAATCTGTGGGAAGTTTACTGGATATCTATTCTCCTATTCGTCTATTTTTTGTAGTACATTTTATTCTACATAATATGTACCTAAATGCAATAGTTTAAACTGTTGATACAAGTGCATACACCACTGCCATGCAATTGATGACTACAACGGCAATGGTTTTATTAACAACAAGTTGCAGCAAACTTATCAATGGTTAATTTTCTATTATTATTGATTGCATGTACAAATATTTGTTACATTAATACAGTATATAAGTTTTTCTTATCAGAAAATGAATCTATGTCACAATATGTGGAACGAATCGGTTCGGATTCTATCAACGTCAAGACATCCAAAAGAACGGATTTTACCATATTTTCACCGAGGATAGATGATATATAAAATATGCGGATAAAATTGGCAAAGGCTACGAGGAAGCCGAACATAATAGAAGAATTTGCGGCGTATTATTTAAAAGTGTATATGGAGCTGCAAACTTTACGCGTATTAAGGAATGATTATACTTAGTTTTTTGAAAATAGTGATAATTATTCGATATTTCAAGGATTTAAAATGATTGCAAAAATCCAAACCTTCGTCATTGATATTTCGCAGTTGCAAGGTGTTATTAAATACTATAATGAATATCAAAGCCCCGAATTTTCAATGGATAGAAATTTCATAGTCTTAATACTGAATTTGAAAAGGTCGCGGAAGCACTTACTATTGCGTTACAAAATCGCCTCGTTTTTTTAAACCGAAAGCTCAAAACACTGAAGACGACGAAGCTATAAATCAGGATACGCTAGATATGGAAAAAGTAATATAAATCTATTATAATCAATAATCACACTAAATAATATATTTATTTATATTTTTATAATTAAAATTTTTAATAATAAAAAAATTATTATAATTAAATTTGATTATTATTTATAAATTAACTTAAGTAAACTTATTTACTAGATTATCAAGCATATATATTTAAAATTTTATATAATTTAAATAAATATTTATTGAATAATAAATAAAAAAAGATTAAAAAGTATTTTAAATTAAATGCTTTTAGTAAACTTATTCACTAGATTATCAAGCATATATATTTAAAATTTTATATAATTTAAATGAATATTTATTAAATATATCAAAAATAAAATATCCAGTTTTTTTGTAATATGCTATAAATAATATTAATATTTAAAATTATTTTTAAAATAGCTTATAATATATAATAATTAATAATAATATTTTTAATAATTATAACTTATAAAATTTAAATTATAATTTAGTAAAATACCAATAATAAATAAAATATTATAAAATATAGAGCTAAATAAAATATAAAAAATTAATAAGATATAAATATAGTCAGATTTCTCTATAATTATCATACTTGAGAAAGTAAAATTACATAACTAAAGAGAAATATAACTATAAAGAGATTTTTTAATTATAGTTAATTAATAATTAAGAAACTTAAAAAAAATAACTATAAAAAAAGATGAATATAAAAAAGATAACTATAAAGAAGTATAATTGTAAAGAAATCTGACTGTATTTTATAAATAAGTTAATATAAATAAATAAAAATAAATAATTTATTTAATTAAACTTATAATTTTTAATTTATAAACTATTATATAGTTTTATTATTTAAGTTTAATAATTTATTTTTAATTTTTTTCAAATTTTATATAATATAATTAATTTAAAAAAAATTTTTAAAAGTAATTTTTTATATTATAAATCCTGATTAATCTAATTTATTATTTTATAAAATTATTTCTTACTATTATAATATTTATTTTTTTAAAATTAAATTAATTAACTTTATATATAAAGTTTTTTTGATAAAAACAAATTATAAAGATATTTCAAATATTTATCAACTTTATTTTATAAGTATTTAATAAGACTCAAGTTAGAAATTATATTAATTAGTCAAGTAAATTAATTTTATTTTTAATAAATTATTAGTTTGCTTTTTTAGAAATATATTTGAAATTATTATTATATTAAAAAATAAAATTTATATTTTTTAATATTATTTTTTAAATTATATTTATTTAAAACTATTAATAAAAATATTAGTTATTATTTTTTATTTATTTTTATGAGTTTATTAATTTTAACAAGATAAAATAATTATAATTAATTATTATAAATTTTATTATTTATATAATAATTTTTTAATTAAATCAAATTATTTACTTCTAATTATTAGTTATCTAATTTTAATATTTCTTTATTTCTTATTTTAATAAATTTTATTAAGTAAAGATTTTTTATTTTATTTTATAGTTAAGTTATTTTTTAAAGTATTTTTTTATATATTTTATATTAATAAATTAATTTTGATTTATTTTTGAGCTTAAATATTTTTCAAATTATATTAATTATATTAAGTTTTGTTATAATATAATAAAAGACTTGAATTTTGAATTATTATTAAAGTTTCTGATTATTTTTTTATATATTTAATAAACTAAAATTAAGTTTATTTGTTTTAATATGATAATTTTTATAGAAGTATATTCTTGAAAAATTCAAGATATTGAAAATCAAAATTTTGTTTTAATTATTAATAATTTGATTTATTTTTCTATATAATATCAAAAAAATAAGATATTTTTATGTTCTTATTCTGGTTTAGTTATATTATGTAAAAAAGCTTAAAAAAATTATTATATATAAGAGAAATGATAAATAAAATTAAATTCATATTAGTTGATAAGTGAGATTTTAACAAATTAAAATGCATTTATTTTGACTTCATTAATGATGAGATATTTGTATCTCACCAATTTTTTTTATATTTTATTTATTTCATGAGACACTGAATTAATCTTGATATTAATTCCAAAATGCTATTAATAAGATATGACAGTCAGATCTCTTTATAGTTACATTTTTTTATAGTTATTCTTTTTGAGTTTTCCAGTTATTAATTAACTATAATTAAAAAAATCTCTGTAATTACCAAATTTTAAGCTAGACTGAACATATGTAATTCTCTTTTAGATAGTGAGCATCATCCCTGTGTAGATTCTCCCAATTGGTTTACTTCTTAAAAAAACACGAGACTCACACTCACATCACGTGACCCGAACAACTTTCGCTTTTTAATCTTTTCGGCATTTGATTTGAAATTTTTGAGGTTGGAATTGATTCAGAACAGAATTCAATTTTGATAGAAATTTCAAGGGTAAAAATAGTTATATACACTTAGGAAGACACTATCAAATTTAGTATCATAAGAGATTCCAAAACCTATATTGGCATAATCTGAGTTTACACAGCTATGATCGCAAGCTAGAAGAAAAATGAAAAATGGTTTAAAATTCTTGAGTTTTGTATAATGTTATTTATGATGGTTGGTTCCTGAAAATAGTCCATTATTTCTAGGACGATGTGTACTTATATTGGAATGTATAAAAACGACTTTTTTGGTGCGCCATTAGTTGATAACTGTAATTGCTAAATTTACATGCATGTGATGTCTTTTACAATAGTTTCTATTATTTTCTCTAAGTCAGCGACACATTAAATTCTTAATTACCTCTATTAAAAGAAAAACACTCACAATGCGAAACATAATAACACCACCAATACCGAGAAGTTTATCAGACGCAGCTCCACCTGTCTCAAGTTCCTGAACCTGACTATACGCTAATAAATTCGGACTTTGCGTTCCAGACAATCCTCTGACGGCATTTTTTGTGGCGAGTTGCGTGAGTTGTGTCTTCACGTTTTGAGGGTTCAGATTATATTTAGAGAGCATCAATGCTATGATACCTGATACATAAGGAGCTGAGAAAGAAGTTCCTGATTCAATACCAGCATTATAATTTGTGCATGCAAGGTCGGACATGACATTGTCGCCGGGTGCAAATAAAGTGACGCATGGACCTATATTTGACCAAGGGGCAATAGTATCATTTGCTAAAGTCGCGCCAACAGCGATTGCGGATTTAGATGCTGCAGGTGATGAAAGGCATGCATCTTCAGGACGGCCGTATTGATCACCATTTCCAGCAGCAGCCTTATAAATAAGACATGATAAAATGAAAGAGTATACAAATTTCAAGAATCATTAATATAGAAAGAGAATAGATTATAGTACCACAACTGTGATCCCTGCCGATACCACTTGATTTACAGCCATGTCGACTAATTTATCTCTCTGTGTTCCAAACGAGAGACTATTGAATCAAAGAGTATTTGTTTTAGTTAAAGAACAAAGAAATCAAAAAATCTCGAAATTGACATACTTTGCAATAGCAGGTCTTTTTGAATTGTTGTGATGATTAATGATAAATTCAAATCCATATAGAATATTGTTAAGAGTTCCTTCTCCGTTATCGTCCAAACACTTTAATATTCTCATTATATAAGTATTTTAGAAATAAACCGAAATAATAACTCTTGATTTTATTACCTTTACTGCAATTAAATTGACTTTTTTTGCCACACCAAACACTTTACCGCCAATTATTCCTAAAGAGTATTTTATTCATTAATTTATTCAGTCTTTAAGTATTGTGATGCTTTTCTACTTACCAGCTACAAATGTACCATGTCCAAGGAGGTCGTTATCAGTAGTATTTGGAACTGCAGTTAACCCCCAACTTGCTCTTCCTTCGAAATCAACATGATTTATATTGATACCACTTCATTGATGATAAATAATAATTTTAATTATTATAAATTAAAAATTTTCTTCCATATTTAATTGATTAACCTACGTGTCAATCACATAAACGTCGACTCCTTCACCGGCATTCTGATCAAAGTCGTATGTTTTTGATAACGGAAGCGAACGTTGATCAATTCGGTCTAATCCCTATTGAAATTTAACAATTATAAAACGTATAACAAGCTAATGATGCATATAAATGATACGAAAAAAAACTTACCCAACTCTTTACATTAGTTTGAACAATAATATCATTCGTGGTATTTTCAAATTTCACAGATCCTGGATCCACAGTCAAATTACCACCCATTCCAGGTGGTGGAGGATTACACCCGTTACCTATTTCCGCAACTGGATCTGGATTTACAGGTTTTATCTTTCTCACGATAGTGTCTTCTGACATCCACCAATCGTTTCGAGAATCAAGTTTTAGTTTTTCATCAAAATCCCCGGGAAGCACATAAAAATTATCGCCAAGATGGATCAATTTTGAGACATTATATTGCGATGAAATATATGCCATTTCTTCGGTTGATGGAGGTGAGGTGAACACTAGTAATTTTGATTCAGCATTGGTATTTAGTGAGAATATAATCAAAATTATAAGGCTATGTATTAAAAATATTGTAGGTCGAGACATGTTTACAAGGGAAAAATTCAAGATTAGATTTTTTTAGAAAATTTATATATGATAATGACTCAAAATTTAATTATATTAGACGTCGTCACTATGATAGTATCTGTAATTAAGTCAATGTGATTTACATAATTCGTTCAATTTGACATCATCATCTGGTTATTTTCCCACACTAATTGTTCATCTCGTGTGGCATACTAATATCGAAATATAAATAAATCTTTCCCCGTTTAGTTGGTAACTTCATTAGGATATTTGTCCGTTTTATAAACATGAATCTAATTTTTGGTAATATTTTAAAGCAAAATGACTCGGTTATTATTAATATCATCAGTTTGTATTTTTCCAAATAAGGTATACCAATTTCTTTTTGGTGATAAAAAACAGAAGAGACTTCGAAGTTAGTATGCCATACGAAATTGAAGATAAAGAGAAATGCTGAGTGACTAGCAAGAAAAGCTACAGATTTAGAGATTAAATTTAAATGTTGACTGATTTTACGCAAGACGATAAATGAATCGAAATGGTTTCAATTTCTTTGTGTTTATGCGTATCGGCATATTTAATCTCATTATTACCATTTTATGGTAATAATATATATCTTTTATGTGTATTTACAGGAAATAAACGATTGGGATGATTACAACATTATAATTCAAAGAAAAATTGTTATTACAGAAAAAGACTATCTAGCCAATCACTTTTCTTAAAGTCACATAATTCATAGATCTTTCAGAAGGCTGAACTTTTTAAATCTGTAACTGTACAAAACTTGTCACCAAGGATATCGGGGTTTGACAGGGTAGATTAATATAAGACTTTTCTACTTCGAACGCGGATTTAATGACAGATAATTGCTAAATATGTAAAAGATTTAGAGGGAATAAACATAGACATGAAAACTTTTCACCATCCAAAGTATGCGGCTACGAAAAAATTTCATTAATATCCTTGCAATTAATCTAGGCTCGTTTCTGTTGAATTAATATAGGTAATTAATATTCTCTTATTAGGTTAGGTAAACCGTTCCCTTGAGAATTTAAATGTAACCAAGCTATAAGAATTTTTTATGTTCAAAAACTTTGATATTCTCTATTAATTATAGATTATCTAATTAATAAGTATGGGTTGGTGCAAAAAGATTTGTACCTCAGATAAACATTAATAGATTATTTTTTCAAAATAAAATTTTAATTCTGTCTTATTTAA